AAGTATATATAAATGTATGGATGCCAGCTTGTCGGCTTTGCTTTGCTGCTTATCTGCTTTGAAGCATCGCGAATCGCAAAGGCCAGCTTCCGTTCCAAGCTGTGCTCCCCAAAACAGTTCAGCTCCAAAGACAATTGCTTGGCTCGCTTGTCGGGGGCGATCTTGCACATATATATATATATATATAGAGAGAGAGATATATACATATATACCCATATATATATATATACACTTACCTTAACGTATGCAAAATTGTTGCTGCATTTTGCGCATATCTCAAAATTAGTTCAATTGAAAGCATCGATCGGGCGAGCGATCGATCGATCTGCTGGAATTGGCGGCATATAAACAATTTGGTTGTTTAACCTTCGCATATGCAGAAATGCATCAAGTAATTTAACTTCTCTGTTGCGCTTCTTTCAGCTCTTTTGGTCAGGCCAAATCGTTTGCATAATCTGCGCAGTCATTTTTCGTTTCGGCACAATTTGTCGCCAGTAGGACGTAGCGTAACGGTAATCGAAGGCAGTTTATTATGCGGCATTCAAAGAGCTACATATATCGATTGTGTACGAAATTCAATATTCATTGTGTGTGTTAAAATTGAGTTTATTTTTTGCAATTGATTGGGCATATAGTTCTCTGATTTAAAGTTGAAAAAGTAACAACTAAGTAAAATTTCTCATATTTAAATATTAAATTTATACGTAAAGCTATATTCATCACCTTAGCTCCATTCTTTTCGCTCTGTCCTGAAATATGAGACTGGATAATCCTGTAGTGCTCTGACTGATGGATGTATGTATTTATATATACAATATAATTATTCTGTATATAGCTCTACGAGTGAGTTAGTACTGTAGATAGGAGATATAACTTCAGAATGACTCTACGATGTCAGCTTAATTTTATTCGTCAGCTATTATCATTATCATAATTACGATTCAACTTTTAAGCTTGAGTCGAAATTCAAATTTAATTAAATTTATCATTTCATAACTTCATTTCATTTAATCGAGTTGCATAATAAAATGTTCTTAATTCGAAACCCTAACTGAGTGCATTCATATATTCAAATCTAATATAAAATTTCAGCTAACTTCATTGCAGCCACAAAGAATTGCCAGAGCCACATTCCCAAGTTTTTTCTTTCCCAAATAAATAGATAAAAATTGTTGTTTTTTTTTATAATAACTTTCTTTACTATAAGTATCAGTTTAGTGTCCTCCATGTGTTTGCTTAGGCTTAAGGAAAAAAAATATGAATTTCTTACAGCTAATTGTCTTCCATGTTAAGCTAGTTCTTAGGAGTAGGCAGTCTTATAAACTATATAATGAACAGGCACATTCAGCGCACTTAAAACTAATTTGTACAAAGTGTTTGTAAAACAAAAAAAAAAAAGAGTTGAAAAAAAAAAATTGTGCTTAATAATAGAATAAATACTTGAGCGTTGGCTGAGGTAATACTTGAGGTGGTTAAAACTTGACTAGTTGTTGTTGTAGGGAATTGTGTCTCTATTGCTTACATATCGTCCTGCCAGAGCGATATATAGTCGAGTATGTCGTCATCCTCGGCGCCCGAGCTGCACGAGTTGTTGGGATAATCTTCGTAGCCGCCGGCGCTCGTCTCCTCCTGCTTGAGCTGAGCAGGAGCGCAGGCGAAATAGGATGAATCGAAGCTGGAGCTGCTGGTCGAGCCGGCTGATGATGAGCACGTGCTGGAGCTGGGCGAGATGAGCTGCAGTTGCTGTTGCAGCGCATAGAGTTGCTGCTGCTGTTGCTGCAACTGTTGCTGCTGGTAGTTGAAGTGTTGCTGCTGTTGGGCAAACTGTTGCTGTTGCTGTGGCTGGTGTTGCTGCTGCTGCTGCTGTGGCAGCAACAGTTGCTGCTGCTGCTGCTGCTGCTGCTTGTGCTGCCGATCATTGTCATCGATGACGCGCTGCAGCCGCCTAATATACTCCACGGCCATGCGCAGGGTGCTGACCTTGCTCAGCTTCTTGTTGGCGCCGGGCCCAATGCCGCGCCTGCCATTGCTCAGGTCGGCAATGATGGCAACGGGTATGTGCTGGCGCAGCTGGCTAAAGCCATTGTTCACCTGCTTGACGCGATTGCGCTCTCTAGCATTGCGACGCACCACCGAACCGCCGCCCAGCAGCTGCAGCGGCTCATCGTCGTCATCGAGCTGCTGCTGCTGCAAATAGCTGCTCGGCTTGGCATAGGGCGCCATCCGCTGCTGCTGCTGCTGCTTCTGCTGCTGATGGTAGAGAGAGAGACTCTGGCTTTGATTCTCGCTGCCTAATGCCATCTTGATTTTGGTTGAGTTTGGCTTCTTTAGTTCTTGTAGTTTGAGCTGATCTTTTGGTAGTTGGCTCTGCGAGCTCTGTCGCTGTTCTGATGCCCTTCCCTGCGCCGTGCGCGCTATTTATAGGGCAGCGCGTAGCCGCAATTCTCACCTGCCGCAGCAGCAGCGGCAGCGGCAGCAGCGGCAGCGGCTACCTGTGTTCCAGACAAAAGGTGCAAACGGCGCAGCGCAGCCAACCAGACAGCATCCGCTCAAGGATCAGAGTTGCTCAAATTGAACAAATGCGACGATGCACTCAAAGTCAAGCGACTCACTCATTCACACACACACTCACACACTCACTCATGCACTCACTCGCTCTCTTTGAGCTGGGAAGAGTCTTGAGTGAGTCTGAGACTGGGAAGAGTTTTTTTTAATGCTTGCTTCACTCGAGTTGCTTTTCAGCTTCCTTTGCTGCTGCTGCTGCTTCTTCTTCTTGTTTCTCGTTGTTGTTGTTGCTGTTCGGGCAGCTGCTTTTGATTATATGTCTGTGTCCATTGACTGGCTGCCGCTCTTCAGCTTTATCTCTCACTCCCTGTCTCCCGCACTCCCTCTCCCTCTCCCTCTCCCTCTCTCGCTCGCTCGCTCTCTCTCTCTGTCTGTTGCTTTGGTCGCTGTCGCGTGCCGGCTGCGAACCGGTTGCTTGGCCATTCGTGTGCCTTGCTTCTTGGAGCAGTTGCTCCCATCTGCTCCCATTTGCTTGTGAGCTGCCTCGCCTAGGAGCTGGCTGAACGACAAATGTTGCCTGCCTGCCAGGCTGCCTGGCTGCCTGCCTGCCTGCTTGCTTGCTTGGCAGTCAGGGTCAGGTCGCATTAACACCCCGCCCGGTTGCATTTAACTATTAACACTTCCACTGCTAATGCCCGTTAGTCCTTTATGGCCAACGTCCCGTTGTCAACGAAGGTCGGTGCGTTGCAGCGCGCACTCGAAAGCATTTAGCATTTGGCATTCTTGGCCATTCTTGGCCATTGTTGGCCATTGTTGGCCATTGACGCTGTCGGAGCCAACTCTGGCTGCACGCCAGGCCGCAACCGTGTCAAAGCGTTTGACATTCGCACCTCAATGGCCCAATGGCCCAATAGTGAGCCGAACCGTACCGCACCGTGCCGTACCGCACCGTACCAGAGCGGACAGCGCTGACCACGCTGTGCCTCATTTAGCACTTCAGCAGCCGCAGCAGCGGGATATTGCATAGCATTGCATTTGCCGCTTGCATTCAGCCGAACATCTGGTCAAAGTTGAATCCCAGTCCGAGGCCCAAATTCAATTCGTATTGCATTTCGCTTTGGTTAAACTGTTTTGCCCAACATTTGATTCGCATCGGCTCCTCTGTTGGCGCAATAGAAATTCGTTTTGCACAATTTTTAGTTTTCCTGCATTGGTTTTCCTCTTCTTCCGCTTCTTGAGACTGTTTGCGTGCTCGCATCGTTCATATATAAATTGTGAATTATTTTTTACGTTGTTTTTGTTTTTGTTTCTGTTTTTTTCTTGGTCGCGTTCCATTCGAACGTTAACCGGGCCGGTTCGCGGCGTTGCGGCACGCTTAATGCCGCCTGAACAGGCCACAATAACGGTTAACCGAACTGAGCCGATCAGCAAATGCTCTACCTTCAGAATTTTGCAGCTATTGAAAGTGAATTTATGTGAGCTAATATGTGTTAAATGCTAATTGTGAACGATTTATGTGAACTAGTACAGTTGACGGTTCAGTACATTCAAGATATAATCATATGCAATATTTCTTAAGTTAAACTGAGCTGAGATTTAAATCAATGGAACTAGTTTTTAAATGGTTCTGAATCGATGTGGATTAAGCTCAATTCATAAAATTTTATGAAGAAGGATCACATTTAGCTCAAAAGCTTTAGCTTTTGGCTTAGGCCATAGGCTCATAGGTACTACACCAGTTCTTAAATGGTTCCAATCCCAAACATGCAACTGATAGTTGAAAATATATCTATCTATCTATCTATCTATTTATCTATCTATCTATCTATCTGTTGGTTGGTCGAAAGAATATGAATAAGCACACAAGTGGTTCCGAAGCGAAATTAGCCTAACAATATCATGGAAATACTTCAGTGTTTTATGGCATTTGATTGAAAGTACAAAGCAATAAATAGTAGTAAATAAGAACTAGTTCATTAGTAATTCCAAAGCGAATATGCAGAAATGCATAAGTGTAGTATATATAAAGTAATTAATTGCGGCTTTAGATATAATGAAATAAATTTGGGCATATATTATTAACTAGTTCATTAGTGGTTCCGAAACGAAGTAAATGCGTAAGTATAGTAGTATACAAGATACTTACTTCCAATTGTATCTAGATTCAATGAAATAAATTTGGGCATGCATTATGAACTAGTTCATTCATGGTTCCGAAACGAAGTAAGCAGACATGCATAAATGTACCATATACAAGAAAATTACTCTCGATTGTGAGTTTGGGCATGCATTAGTGGTTCCGGAACGAAATATGCAGAAATGAATAAATCTACCCTATATGAGAAAATTATTTGCGATTGTTGATTTAATGAAATAATTTTAGTCATGTATTATGAACTAGTTCGTTAGTGGTTCCGAAATGAGGTAAACAGACCCTATATGAGAAAATTATTTGCGATTGTTGATTTAATGAAATAATCTTAGGCATGTATTACGAACCAGTTCGTTAGTGGTTCCGAAACGAAGTAAACCGAGAGACATGTATAAACACAATATGATATATACTGAGGAAATTACTTTTGTTTGTAGATTAAAAGGAATAGATTTGAGTATAACTTGAGAACTAGTTCATAGGTAGCTCTAAGCACAAATCTGCAGATTTACAGACCGCAAATTTCTTATGCGAGAGATTAAAATAATTTTACTTAATTATTTGAGCTACTTGTTTTCGTTAAGTTTATGGGTTCCTTGATATAAAATCTCGTATGAAACGCTAAATAGAGTGTGGAAATTACATTAGTTATGCTCTATATGCACCGTTCCTTAGCCTAGCATCTGAAGAATTGCATATGGGAATTTTCAAAATAATATGAATACGGCCATGGAGACAGAGCTGCTCACTTAGCTGTTGGAGCCCAGAGTTCCCAAAGCTGGCATTAAGAGCAGCCAGCTCTGTGGATGCCGCCACCGTTGGCAAAGCCTCTTGTGGCTGTTGTTGGGGGCTTTAAGCCTTTTTCGGTGGCTCAGGTGAGACTGAGCTGGAGACAGGTCGAGCAACAACATATATGTATGTATATAGGCATATACATACATATATACCTATATATGTATGCAGCATGCAGATATATTTAGCGATCGGCAGCAGGCGCTATCATTATCTGACACAAAAATTTAATATAAATTATGTTGACATGTTGGCTTATAAATATGCGAGCGAGGGAGACAGAGAGATAAAGAGAGAGAGAGAGAGAGAGAGCGAGAGCGAGATGAAGCCTAGTTGAATAATATTTGTGCCCGCTCTCATAATTGCTAGTAAGACACGTTGAGCAACAAAACGAATTCACAATCCCAAATGCGAAATGCGAAATGCGAAATACGAAATATGAATCCCGCCCGAATCCGAAATGGCAATCCGAAATGCAATCACACAGGGCGGAACGGTGCCAGAATCGCGAGATGAAGTCGTCATTAATATCGACTCTGGCCTGTCAATAACTTGACATCGCATCATCATTTCGCCATCGCCAGCGTCTACCTTTATTTTTTATTTTTTTTTATTATTATTATTATTTTTACTCTGTGTGTGTGTGAGTGTTTTTTTTTCTCGCAGCTCCTGGAACTCCTTTTCGGTCAGACGGCGACGATCATTCGAATATTCGCAGTTCCACTTTGTTGTTGTTGTTGTCATTTTTTTTTTTAGCTTGCCAACTTTCAGACACTTGGCGTTACGATTTTTGACGCGCCCCAAGCCAAGGTCGAGCTTCCAGGTATTTGTTGTTGTCCAAGACTTTTTTAACCCTTAATGTTGTAGCTGTTGTTGTTGTTTTTGTTGTTGTCATTTTCATTATTGCTCTTGCACTTTGCATAAGTTTAATGTTAATCAAAATTCGACTGTGTCATCTTGATGTCTTTTTTTCTGCTTAATAACGTTGATGGTAAAGGCGAAAGTTATTTATTGAGAACCAGAGTGAACTTGAGAATTACAAAAAATTTGGAGAAAAAAATCAAGAAGCTGTAATATCTTATAGATATATGGCATACTGATTTCATATAAATCTTACGATAATTCTAATTCAGTTGAAAATGTATTATGGATTTCATTGCTGAGGATGGTATTTCTCAATAGTACTTCTAGCTGGATATAGGCCTATGTTTAGCATGCTGTACCGTCTGAGAATTACAAGTATTATATATATTCATTTGATATATGTATTACTGACAGCGAAATTTTTTTTATATATTTCAATACTGAGCATCAGGAATATTAACATTTGATAGGTTTCTACCTAGATGATGACGAGTTAATCAGCTAAAGTCAAAGTACAGATTGAACCGGAATCTCAGCTAAAACTTCCTTGTAATGATCATTTGGTGTTGATCCCTTATCCCCACTGTTATACTTCGTATACCTCTCTTGGAATAACCTTTTGCTATTTAGCATATATTTGTTGGTAGACACTATCTATATTTAATTGTAGGGATGCTTCCATCTCTGATAATTCCATCTGTGTCTCTCTATTTTAATATCGTATTTGACATGTACTTCATTTGGCACTCTTTTCGCAAAACCTCTTAAGCCTTTTGTATTTCCAATTTCCTCTTCGTCTATCCCTCTTTCTCGCCCTCTCTCTCTCTCTCTCTCTCTCTCTTTCACTTTCTGCATTTTTACTATTTCACTTTCTGCCTCTATCTACGTATTCATTTGATTCTATCTCTTTTTGGTTTTCCTGTGTCGTTCGCTCTCTCTATCTCTCTCACAATCCCTTTTGCTCGTATCTAAGCTTCCCTCCGTCTCAGTCTTTCACTCAGCCTTTTCTCTTTCCGCTTCTCTGCTTCTCTCTATTTTACTCTCTCTTTCTCTCCTGATTTTTTTTCTCTCTTTATTCTTGTGTCTTT